TATTGTCAAGAATTGGAGAATTCACAACATCATCACTATATTATTGAGAAAGAGAGAATTCACAAGATCATCACCTTATTGTCAGAGCTGTCTAGAAAGAGAAAATCCACAAGATCATCACCTTATTGTTAGAGCTGTCTAGTAAGAGAAAATCCACAAGATCATCACTTTATTGTTAGAGCAGTCTAGTAAGAGAAAATCCACAAGATCCACAAGATCATCACTTTATTGTTAGAGCAGTCTAGTAAGAGAAAATCCACAAGATCATCACTTTATTGTCAGAGCTGTCTAGTAAGAGAGAATTCACAAGATCATCACTTTAGAGCTGTCTAGTAAGAGAAAATCCACAAGATCATCACTTTATTGTTAGAGCAGTCTAGTAAGAGAAAATCCACAAGATCATCACTTTATTGTTAGAGCTGTCTAGTAAGAGAAAATCCACAAGATCATCACTTTATTGTTAGAGCAGTCTAGTAAGAGAAAATCCACAAGATCATCACTTTATTGTTAGAGCAGTCTAGTAAGAGAAAATCCACAAGATCATCACTTTATTGTTAGAGCTGTCTAGTAAGAGAAAATCCACAAGATCATCACTTTATTGTTAGAGCTGTCTAGTAAGAGAAAATCCACAAGATCATCACTTTATTGTCAGAGCTGTCTAGTAAGAGAGAATTCACAAGAATCACTTTAGACTAGTAAGAGAAAATCCACAAGATCATCACTTTATTGTTAGAGCTGTCTAGTAAGAGAGAATTCACAAGATCATCACTTTAGAGCTGTTAGTAAGAGAAAATCCACAAGATCATCACTTTATTGTCAGAGCTGTCTAGTAAGAGAGAATTCACAAGATCATCACTTTAGAGCTGTCTAGTAAGAGAAAATCCACAAGATCATCACTTTATTGTCAGAGCTGTCTAGTAAGAGAAAATCCACAAGATCATCACTTTAGAGCTGTCTAGTAAGAGAAAATCCACAAGATCATCACTTTATTGTTAGAGCAGTCTAGTAAGAGAGAGAAAATCCACAAGATCATCACTTTATTGTCTAGTAAGAGAAAATCCACAAGATCATCACTTTATTGTGTCTAGTAAGAGAAAATCCACAAGATCATCACTTTAGAGCTGTCTAGTAAGAGAAAATCCACAAGATCATCACTTTATTGTTAGAGCAGTCTAGTAAGAGAAAATCCACAAGATCATCACTTTATTGTCAGAGCAGTCTAGTAAGAGAAAATCCACAGTCTAGTAAGAGAAAATCCACAAGATCATCACTTTATTGTTAGTAAGAGAGCTGTATTGTTAGAGCTGTAAGAGAGAATTCACAAGATCATCACTTTAGAGCTGTCTAGAAAGAGAAAATCCACAAGATCATCACTTTATTGTTAGAGCTGTCTAGTAAGAGAGAATTCACAAGATCATCACTTTAGAGCTGTCTAGAAAGAGAAAATCCACAAGATCATCACCTTATTGTTAGAGCTGTCTAGTAAGAGAGAATTCACAAGATCATCACTTTAGAGCTGTCTAGAAAGAGAAAATCCACAAGATCATCACTTTATTGTCAGAGCTGTCTAGTAAGAGAGAATTCACAAGATCATCACTTTAGAGCTGTCTAGTAAGAGAAAATCCACAAGATCATCACTTTATTGTCAGAGCTGTCTAGTAAGAGAGAATTCACAAGATCATCACTTTATTGTCAGAGCTGTCTAGTAAGAGAGAATTCACAAGATCATCACTTTAGAGCTGTCTAGTAAGAGAAAATCCACAAGATCATCACTTTATTGTTAGAGCAGTCTAGTAAGAGAAAATCCACAAGATCATCACTTTATTGTCAGAGCTGTCTAGTAAGAGAGAATTCACAAGATCATCACTTTATTGTTAGAGCTGTCTAGTAAGAGAAAATCCACAAGATCATCACCTTATTGTTAGAGCTGTCTAGTAAGAGAGAATTCACAAGATCATCACTTTAGAGCTGTCTAGAAAGAGAAAATCCACAAGATCATCACTTTATTGTTAGAGCTGTCTATAAGAGAGAATTCACAAGATCATCACTTTAGAGCTGTCTAGAAAGAGAAAATCCACAAGATCATCACCTTATTGTTAGAGCTGTCTAGTAAGAGAGAATTCACAAGATCATCACTTTAGAGCTGTCTAGAAAGAGAAAATCCACAAGATCATCACTTTATTGTCAGAGCTGTCTAGTAAGAGAGAATTCACAAGATCATCACTTTAGAGCTGTCTAGTAAGAGAAAATCCACAAGATCATCACTTTATTGTCAGAGCTGTCTAGTAAGAGAGAATTCACAAGATCATCACTTTAGAGCTGTCTAGTAAGAGAGAATTCACAAGATCATCACTTTATTGTTAGAGCTGTCTAGTAAGAGAAAATCCACAAGATCATCACCTTATTGTTAGAGCTGTCTAGAAAGAGAGAATTCACAAGATTGTCAATATATAATAGAACAGCTGTCTAGAAAAACATGTCAGAAGGTTCATCTGTATATATATATTTTCAGAACAGCTAATGTTTAGGAAATACCATTGATTCATCCTTATATTGATAAGTGGTATTCCTTGTGTTAGATAGCAATAAAAACCATCATCTGGAATTATATCATGTTTATTGTTTTGTTTACACTGTTATTTTCCCAGATGGTGGCACTCAGGTGACGTGTGTTGTATTCACTACGTGTTTGTTGAAGACAACCCGTGATGATTCATAGACCGATGACAGGGATGCACTTATAGTACATTTGGTTGAGTTTGTACTTGTTTCCCTTCAGTTCTTTGGAAACATAGAATCACAATATCAAGTGACTTGTCAAGATTTTTTTAGTTGGTTGTTAAATCAATGTAAAAGTCAAATTGTGTGCAAAATTTCATCTTCATGATGAATTGAGAACGTGATTGCTTGCCAGTATGGCATTGTTCAGGAATGGAAATTAATCGTACAACTGGTGCTGCCATTTGCAGAGTACACTTGCCAATTATATTTTTGCTGTGACCAGTGGTGACAAAAAACAGCTATATTTTAGCATGTGCATTAATGTGACAAAATTACTTTCTGATTTACTGAAATAGTACATGAGAAAATATGAAAAATTGCTTAAATAAGGGTTTTTTCTGTTGTAACAAACAAGCTTATTTAGGAAATATTGATTTTTCAATAAATGCTGCAGGATGAATAGAATACATGGTCAGTGCCTTGATTTATAGGCTGTTTTTTGACTCGGGACAGAAAGACAAATGTAACAGAGACCGTTCATTCTTTCAGTGTCTCTGCTCAGATTTGAACTTGGGACCTCTGGCTTACTAGTCTGATACTGTACTGATTTAGCTAAAGAGAAGTTCTCTCTAGCCGAACGGTATATTGTAGCTAGTATTTACCAGAGTTACACAAAAGTGACTGACCATTGTTGTCATTCTTCACTCAGGCCAAAATACAGCCTATGTCATCAGATAATGACAATATACAATAACTTAGGTTGATGGGAGTGACCATTAGTGTAGGGAACAAGGATATCATAAAACTGGACATTTTAGGATGATGGGAGTGACCATTAGTGTAGGGAACAAGGATATCATAGAACTGGACATTTTAGGATGATGGGAGTGACCATTAGTGTAGGGAACAAGGATATCATAAAACTGGACATTTTAGGATGATGGGAGTGACCATTAGTGTAGGGAACAAGGATATCATAGAACTGGACATTTTAGGATGATGGGAGTGACCATTACTGTAGGGAACAAGAATATCGTAGAACTGGACATTTTAGATTGATGGGAGTGACCATTAGTGTAGGGAACAAGAATATCATAGAACTGGACATTTTAGGTTGATTACTGTAATGTAAGTGAAGGAAACAAGTTGTTCTATGTATATAAGACTGAGACAAGGCTCTGAATGACTGAGTGTATTATTCAGACACCACAAGTTATTGGTTAATAATGAAAATAATTATCAAGCTGTTTACTATAGATACGGGAAAATGAAACTGCTCATCAGGAAGTGAAATGGTTTCCTGGACAGGGATATGGACATATCAAGTGTATTCATGGTGTTAATACAGGAAGTGAAATGGCTTCCTGGACAGGGATATGGACATATTGGGTAATTTGCTGGAAATCAAGTATATACATGGTGTTAATACTATGTGGTGGTATCTACACTGCTGTTTATTACTACCCTTAATTAACACAGGTTTATAAACAATTCCCTCAGGAGGCATCTCAACCTATGTTTCAGTGACACAGCTTATGTACTTAAGAAACTTATATTCTCAGAATATATTAAACCTGAACATGTTGATATTAACATACACTTAATGTACTGTTAATAAACCATATTGAAGACAGTGTAACCTGTATTGTAACATAGCACCATCTATATATTATCAATAGGTAGGGTGAAAGGACAACATAGTCTATATGTATAAAAAAGAAGAGATGACATACAGTAGTGTACAATACAGAAGTGATGTCTGTTGATGACATACAGTAGTGTACAATACAGAAGTGATGTCTGTTGATGTGACATACAGTAGTGTACAATACAGAATTGATGTCTGTTGATGACATACAGTAGTGTACAATACAGAAGTGATGTCTGTTGATGTGACATACAGTAGTGTACAATACAGAAGAGATGTATATTGATGACATACAGTAGTGTACAAAAGATAAAGATATGTTTGTTGATAGATAACATTATGTAAAAAAGTTTGAGTCAGACATAATTGACTTTAATTTGTCCGATGTCTTTGGTTTGTATCCTAATTGACTTGTACTGAAATTTGGTTGTGTCTCATTATATGAAGAGTTTGCTCCCTTTCTTCATCTTTAATTGCAAATTTGGCTTTTATATCTTGCCTTGTAGAGTACAAAAATGAAAAGATAGTGTTATCCATAATGTACAGGTATGTAAAAAGGGGAGATAATTTGTAGTGTATACAAGGTGAAAGGAAAATTAAGCTGTAATCAGAATTGGTATTTGTATTCCAGCCTGAAAACTTGTTGCTAGCTAGCAAAGCCAAAGGTGCGGCAGTAAAGTTAGCTGATTTTGGATTGGCCATAGAAATACAAGGAGATCAGCAGGCATGGTTTGGTAAGTATAAAATCATTATATTTCTACAAAAATATGTAATAGATGCTACAATGTATATTCCTAATCTAATTATTTAAAAAGATTTCATAATGAATAATGTGTTTATGTTCTTGTGAAATACAAATAAAAATTAATTCTAAGGTGAATAATTGTAGAAAATTAGATTCCCAGTAATGAAAAATGTAACAATTGTAGCAAAATAGAAAAGAAATAACAGTATATACTATCAAAAATTTTCAGTATAAAATATTATGAATTCCACGCACTGTCCAGTATTCTGTTAATCTCTTCCAGAAGGCTCGTAACTGGCTATCGCTTCTCTGAATTATTTATGTAGCTATTTCTAGAGGTTTTATTTGATTTCGATCTTCAGGTCAAAGTCACTATGATATATATTTTGTATTTTGGTAGATAATTATATCATGGCTCGGGATGAGTAACACTTCCTTTCCTTGACCTCTAGGTAGTGGTAAACTTTGACCTACATTTTAAAAATTTATGCCATACTGCTGATACCTAGGCCATTTAGCTTAGCCAACATTGTGTGTGCCATCAGCAGATTTCCCTTCGATCTTACACACATTGCATGTCCAGGGAATTCTCCAACACAGACACAGTTCCAATTGAGCAAATTGTGCTACCATAGCTGTGTACCCAAGATTGGCTTTACTAAAACACCACAATGAACTTGCCCATCACAAGTCTATATTGAGTGATAGAATAAATGGCAGGAATTTTAGCTATGTATGACTCGGTAGATTGTGAATGGTTTCACTTGTTGGTAATCCTAATGGAGGCTTGATAGGTTGACAGTAGGGCCAATAAGATCTTTGATTATCCCTATCTTGTCATCAGTTTTATTCTAAGACTGCTCATTGTCGTCTTTGGCAGTAAGTCATTCAACCGATTAACTATCACAACTTTACAGGGACTTGCCTGTGGAACAAGATCCTCTGATGCTTTACTCATGTTTTTCTCTTTCTTTTTAGAATATTAACGATGTCTTGGTCTGTTCCTGGAATTTTCTGGAAGAGAATGTTATTTTGATATTGTTCTGACCTTGAAGACTTTTGATATTGTTAATACTTAAATCAGACTCTCCTGATGTTAACAGGTTGGGGATGCAGGCATACCTAGATAGCTATGATTCAGATCAAACGTTGAAGTATAATCTTTAGTGTTTAGTTTGTTTATGACATAGAGTAATGACAATATTTATAGATTTTAATGTAAAATATCTAGGAAACTTACTGTTGTTTTATTATGATTGGTGGTGTACAAATTGATCTATGGTATCAGACCGTGTCGTAACTTGTGTAAAACAGGACGGCAAGTATGGTTAGAATTTTGAACTCATCAAATGTAAAATGTTGGAAAGTGCGTCTGGCTCCTAGTCTCTTGTTGCTCAGCATTCTCATGCATAATAATGACATTGTGATATATGTATATTTTACAGGCTTTGCTGGAACTCCTGGCTATTTGTCCCCAGAAGTCCTGAGAAAAGACCCCTACGGGAAGCCTGTAGATATATGGGCATGTGGTAAGGTGTCTGTGTCATACATTGCCGTAGTACACCCAATAAATGTATTAATCTATATTGCCAGCACACATCACTTTTGTACTTTCATCACACATTACCATAGGACACCCAGTAAATGTCCCTGCCTGTACTATCATCAGATATAGCTGGAGTACACCCCTTAAATGTCCCTGTCTGTCTGTCATCACATTACCATAGGACACCCAGTAAATGTCCCTGTCTGTCTGTCATCACATTACCATAGGACACCCAGTAAATGTCCCTGTCTGTCTGTCATCACATTACCATAGAACACCCAGTAAATGTCCCAACCTGAATTATCATCACATAACCATAGGACACCTCTTAAATGTCCCTGTCTGTACTGTCATCACATAACCATAGGACACCCCTTAAATGTCCCTGTCTGTACTGTCATCACATTACCACAGGACACCCAGTAAATGCCCTTGCCGGTACCTTCACCATACATTACCATAGTACACCTAGTGTTGGTCCCAGTCAATACTGTCACCACACATTACCATAGTACACCTAGTATTTGTCCCAGTCAATACTGTCACTACACACATTACCATAGTACACCTAGTATTTGTCCTAGTCAATACTGTCACCACACATTACCATAGTACACCCAGTAAATGCCCTTGCCTGTACTGTCACCACACATTACCATAGTACACCTAGTATTTGTCCTAGTCAATACTGTCACCACACATTACCATAGTACCCCTAGTATTGGCCCCAATCAATACTGTCACCACACATTACCATAGTACCCCTAGTATTGGTTCCAATCAATACTGTCACCACACATTACCATAGTACCCCTAGTATTGGTTCCAATCAATACTGTCACCACACATTACCATAGTACACCTAGAATTTGTCCCAGTCAATACCGTCACCACACATTACCATAGTACCCCTAGTATTGGTTCCAATCAATACTGTCACCACACATTACCATAGTACCCCTAGTATTGGTTCCAATCACCACAATACTGTCACACCACACACATTACCATAGTACTGTCACCACACCCTAGTACCCCTAGTATTGGTTATTTGTCACCACACCCAGTCAATACCGTCACCACACATTACCATAGTACCCCTAGTATTGGTTCCAATCAATACTGTCACCACACATTACCATAGTACCCCTAGTATTGGTTCCAATCAATACTGTCACCACACATTATCATAGTACCCCTAGTATTGGTTTCAATCAATACTGTCACCACACATTACCATAGTACCCCTAGTATTGGTTCCAATCAATACTGTCACCACACATTACCATAGTACCCCTAGTATTTGTCCCAGTCAATACTGTCTCCACACATTACCATAGTACCCCTAGTATTGGCCCCAATCAATACTGTCACCACACATTACCATAGTACACCTAGAATTTGTCCCAGTCAATACTGTCACCACACATTACCATAGTACCCCTAGTATTGGTTCCAATCAATACTGTCTCCACACATTACCATAGTACCCCTAGTATTGGCCCCAATCAATACTGTCACCACACATTACCATAGTACACCTAGTATTTTTGAAGGTATATTATATATCCTGTTATTTGGTTACCCCTACCACCCCCACTCTTAATGATGACACTACCTTTGTAGGTATGATACTATATATCCTGTTGTTTGGCTACCCCCTACCACCCCCACTCTTAATGATGACACTGTCTTTGTCAGTGTGATACTATATATCCTGTTGTTTGGCTACCCCCTACCACCCCCACTCTTAATGATGACACTGCCTTTGTCGGTGTGATACTATATATCCTGTTGTTTGGCTACCCCCTACCACCCCCACTCTTAATGATGACACTGTCTTTGTCAGTGTGATACTATATATCCTGTTGTTTGGCTACCCCCAATCACCCCCAGTCTTAATGATGACACTGTCTTTGTAGGTGTGATACTATATATCCTGTTGTTTGGCTACCCCCTACAACCTCCACTCTTAATGATGACACTGTCTTTGTAGGTGTGATACTATATATCCTGTTGTTTGGCTACCCCCAATCACCCCCACTCTTAATGATGACACTGTCTTTGTAGGTGTGATACTATATATCCTGTTGTTTGGCTACCCCCTACCACCCCCACTCTTAATAATGACACTGTCTTTGTAGGTGTGATACTATATATCCTGTTGTTTGGCTACCCCCTACCACCTCCACTCTTAATAATGACACTGTCTTTGTAGGTGTGATACTTTATATCCTGTTGGTTGGTTACCCCCAATCACCCCCAGTCTTAATGATGACACTGTCTTTGTAGGTGTGATACTATATATCCTGTTGTTTGGCTACCCCCTACCACCCCCACTCTTAATAATGACACTGTCTTTGTAGGTGTGATACTTTATATCCTGTTGGTTGGTTACCCCCAATCACCCCCACTCTTAATAATGACACTGTCTTTGTAGGTGTGATACTATATATCCTGTTGTTTGGCTACCCCCTACCACCTCCACTCTTAATAATGACACTGTCTTTGTAGGTGTGATACTATATATCCTGTTGTTTGGCTACCCTCTACCACCCCCACTCTTAATAATGACACTGTCTTTGTAGGTGTGATACTTTATATCCTGTTGGTTGGTTACCCCCTACCACCCCCACTCTTAATAATGACACTGTCTTTGTAGGTGTGATACTATATATCCTGTTGTTTGGCTACCCCCTACCACCTCCACTCTTAATAATGACACTGTCTTTGTAGGTGTGATACTATATATCCTGTTGTTTGGCTACCCCCTACCACCCCCACTCTTAATAATGACACTGTCTTTGTAGGTGTGATACTTTATATCCTGTTGGTTGGTTACCCACCATTTTGGGATGAAGATCAACACAGACTTTATGCTCAGATCAAGGCTGGGGCTTATGATGTAAGTACAGATTCAAGGATTTGCTCAAACATTTTATATATTGAAAATAATGGTTTCCAATTTTGTTATCATGTATATATCTTAGAGTGTGACAGAATATCTTTGTTATCCGTTACTGTAATTAGAACAAGTGAAAAATATAGATTTATTACACTTTTACCTGTGAAATATAACATTGAGAAAAGTGTATATTTCATTAGTGAAAAGTAACACATTTGCACTTACATGAATAGTAAAGTCTGGTACAAAAAACTAGAGGTACAGCAAGACATCTGTATGGGGGCTGTTTACTAGTAACATGACCTTCAGTTTCACTGTAAGCATCCATTTCCATGGAAGTCAGCAAACAGCGCCTGCCAGTAACTCAAATTACCTTATCAGAGGTCCAACTCATTCCCCAACCAAATGTCTTGAAAAAGGAACTAGACATTTCAAGTGGATTTGGGGTTTTTATTCAGCAAAACAAAGTAACTTGTCTCGAACCATCCAGCTACACACTTGTGAAAGACACTACCATATTAGGGTAGCAAGAAACAGTTAATTTGCATTTTTCCTGAAATTATTGGTCATGTTTGAGATATACAGGTATAGCAGTTTGGTTATTATAAATACATCCTTACATATATATATTTATAAACTATATGACAATTACATTGATAATAGAAAGATAAAATTTGTGTAAATAAAAAATTTCCTCTGATCTCTGACATGCGATTGCCATGGTTACCATCTTAAAAAGTGCTAAAAATGAAAAAATACTGCTAATTCAAACCTAAAACTACCACTTTAAACATTAAACTTTAGAAGAAATTTATTTCTGAAACCTGTCTTAAAATCAACAACACTGTCATGGTAACAAACTACTAACATATCAACAAAGTCAAACTCGGAAATCCTTCACAACATGACCACATGTAAACACTAGGAAAATTTTACTTCCTGTATAGGTAGTTTTTGATGTGTAGACACAGGTTCGAGACTGACCAAATAGTAATCTCCAACACAAATCTAAAATTTTATTCTGAAAAAAATAAAACCCCACATGGTCCACTTCAACATGACAAGACCAAGATACTTTTATGATGGGGTAATCTAAAGAACAAAAATATTGCCATGGCTACACCTAGAAACTGTGTATTGCTACCTACACACACATGAAATATATTTGTTATTACTAAAGACACTCAATATCTTGTCATAAAAATGATATATATATCATATCTTACAGGAAATTATTGAATTTTCCTGTAATTTTATTTTTTAAAGGAAAAAAAACAAAAGGCAATGCCAACATAAAATAAAGTGGTGTTAAAAAGTTCAGGAAGAATGAGTGCTTTTGACTACAAAACTTCATTATATACCAAATAAATCAACCTGCCTTTCATTTATTTTCAAGCAGGAAAATTTACAAATTTCACTGTAGTGACTAGAAAGCTCTGCGATTTCACTGCAGTGAAAATATGATAGAAGATTTTAGGATGTATGTTACTATATTTCACATGCAAAAATGCAATAAAAAAATTGAATATTGCTTTGGATATTATATACAAAATTACGATATGTTTTTATGGGTCTGATATTTTGTCCTTTATACTTAAACCTGACATGATTGGACAAAGTGTTAAGTACAAATATGGACAGTGATCCAAAAGTTTAAAATTACAACAATGAATTCATTTATTGCTTTATACAATTGTATATTATTAAATAAGGGTTGTAATAGCTCAGTAGGTGATGTGTTGACTTATGTCATCACAAGTGAAAGTCTGAGGAGCCTTGTTAGATGAATCCTACTTGTAGCAGTGTATGTTTCTCAGGAAGCTAAGGAACAGAAAAGTCTTTGCTGATGTAGAGCCTGTTGCATGTTGTTACCTGGACTATGCAGTGGGCAATAAACTCAACTAAACAAATTAGTGTTATAAGAACTATATTTGTATTTTAACTTCAAGATCAACATCACAGGAAAAATGAAAGATCTTGCCATTTTTCTTCCTTTCTTATTTGGATCTTCTAAAAGATTTAACATTGATCAAACTTCTTAGATCTTGCAACCCTAATATTGTTTGTGCATATTTATACATTAATAAATCACAGCAAACATCCATTTTTGACAGTCCTTATAAAATTGAATGGCTATCCATGCCCTGACATTATTTCATTGGTTTGGATGATGTTACATGTCACTCTGGTGTTGCACTGACAAAATCAGTAATGGACAAGCTTGTCCAGTAAATAGCTGAACATATTTTGTTGGTAAGAATTAGTTTGCAGTATAATTGTTCCTTATACTTGTAGTACCCGTCTCCAGAATGGGATACAGTGACACCAGAGGCCAAGAATCTCATTAATAGTATGCTGACTGTCAACCCTGCAAAACGTATCAACGCCACTGAAGCTCTCAAGCACCCATGGATATGTGTAAGTGGGCTGATGATGCACTTCTTGATTAGGATGAAATATATAGACCAGTCTTGAGGATCCAATGGTAGTGTATGGGAAAGAAAAGTTCAGCTAATCAGGTCATTGGTAGGAAAATAGTACAGCTAACAAGGTCCATGGTAGGAAAATAGTTCAGTTAAGGAGGTCAATGGTAGGAAAATAGTTCAGATAACAAGGTAAATGGTAGGAAAATTGTTCAGATAACAAGGTCAGTGGTAGGAAAATAGTTCAGATAACAAGGTCAAGGGTAGGAAAATAGTTCAGATAGCAAGGTCAATGGTAGGAAAATAGTTCAGATAACAAGGTCAATGATAGGAAAATAGTTCAGATAGCAAGGTCCATGGTAGGAAAATAGTACAGATAACAAGGTCAGTGGTAGGAAAATAGTTCGGATAGCAAAGTCAATGGTAGGAAAATAGTTCAGATAACAAGGTCAATGGTAGGAAAATAGTTCAGATAACAAGGTCAATGATAGGAAAATAGTTCAGATAGCAAGGTCCATGGTAGGAAAATAGTTCAGATAACAAGGTCAGTGGTAGGAAAATAGTACAGATAACAAGGTCAGTGGTAGGAAAATAGTTCGGATAGCAAGGTCAATGGTAGGAAAATAGTTCAGATAACAAGGTCAATGGTAGGAAAATAGTTCAGATAGCAAGGTCCATGGTAGGAAAATAGTTCAGATAACAAGGTCAATGGTAGGAAAATAGTTCAGATAACAAGGTCAATGGTAGGAAAATAGTTCAGATAACAAGGTCAATGGTAGGAAAATAGTTCAGATAACAAGGTCATTGGTAGGGGAATTATTTTGTTTATTTCAGTCTCAATTTATTCTTTTATAACTGGCGGAGGGAAGATGATTTCATTGTTCAAGGGAAGTAAATCTTAATGACATACCATATCTTTTTGTTATCTGTTTTCAAATTAAGATATATAAAGAAGATCATAAAATTATTATTACTGAGAATCATTATCATGTGATTGTTCAGGCATTTAAATATGTAAATTTTCATTGTTATTTCTAGTAGATTTAGCTTTTATTGCTTACGGACTTGACTTGGCAAAAAGAAATGTTAGTTTTTATCATAAATCATGATAATATTGCTTGTTGTAAACTATGTTCTTGTAAATTATATCAACTGAAAACAAAAGTACATAAGTTGTAAATCAGTGACTAGGAATGATGAAGTGATTTGTAGTCTGTAGATCTGCAACTGTAGTGAATAAGTGATAACATGTTTCCATATTTAGTCAAGTGATTGGTCAGCAATGTGGTACTATACAACTGGACAGTGGTAGTAGTCCATGACCTGTTCTTATATGTACATGCAAGGTGTTATTTTATCAGAGAGTGGAGTCAGATTTAAACTTTTTTTTTTTTAAAGTTAAAAACCCTTGAAGTTATTTCAAGGGGTTTCTTGTTTTATATCTTTATCAGGGATTGTTTAAATGTAAATGATAACAACAGGGTGCACTGGGCTTGATGAATAGGCTAAATTGTCACATACCCACCTTGTAACTGTCTAACATGTGCAGGTAGTGTGAATATTTGGAATAGACGACTGCATGAGTCTGCATATGTCGGATCTACCTTAGTAGCCTGCTGGTGTAGTATATGTGTGTTTAATTTCATTTCAATAGCCAGGTAAATGATTGTAATTTTCACCTGGTCATTTAAACACTGCTTATTCGTGAGTATTTTCAGTTTACAGTTTAAAATTTTGAAGGTTTCATTTGTAGATATGTCTATGGAAAAGTATATTTACATATGACTAATATCCTGTTTCAATCCAGGAAGTGTTTGGAGGTAGGATAGAGACTTGACCTGCTTGGTTATCAGTAGCTCCCTGACATAAGTTTGTTTTGTTGTTTTACAGCAACGTGAGAGAGTGGCATCTGTGGTTCACAGACAGGAGACTGTTGATTGCCTCAAGAAATTCAACGCAAGAAGGAAGCTCAAGGTGAGTATTTTTACCTAATTACCATATTTCTGTTTAATAGCCCTCTAATGGATACAGATATAGAACTGTTATTTGGTAAGAAGTTGTATAAGGATCATATTTATCAATTAACGTAAGGAATTTTTTTAAAGTAAAATTTTCACACAAGCAGTAAGCACAACATTGAAGGCCTTATTTAACTAGCAGAAATTTTCAAACATGTCTTAAAAGGCAATAACAGAACAAAGTCCATTTTTTCCCCATTGGTTTCTGGCAAGGGCATTTGTGCCTTCCAACACATCTTGTTCTTGTTTACAGTTGTCTCAAAACTTCTTCTAAGTGTTCACAAATATTCTCTCTTCTTTGAAATTAAGTTTCAGCCTTTTTGGTAAATCACAAGGTCACTGTCGTTAGAACTTTGATCTGCAGACTTACTTTGTATTAATTTGAGGCTTTATATATATGACAGGGCTAGGTACTACATGGATCATACTGATCCAGCATTATTTAGGATCCTGTAATGGTCACTATTGGTCAGTTAGTGTGACAACAATACAGGATCCTGTAATGGTCACTATTGGTCAGTTAGTGTTACAACATGGCAGGATCCTGTAATGGTCACTATTGGTCAGTTAGTGTTACAACATGGCAGGATCCTGTAATGGTCACTATTGGTCAGTTAGTGTTACAACATGGCAGGATCCTGTAATGGTCACTATTGGTCAGTTAGTGTTACAGCATGGCAGGATCCTGTAATGGTCACTATCGGTCAGTTAGTGTTACAACATGGCAGGATCCTGTAATGGTCACTATTGGTCAGTTAGTGTGACAACAATACAGGATCCTGTAATGGTCACTATTGGTCAGTTAGTGTTACAACATGGCAGGATCCTGTAATGGTTACTATTGGCCAGTTAGTGTCACAACATGGCAGGATCCTGTAATGGTCACTATCGGTCAGTAAGTGTTACAACATGACAGGATCCTGTAATGGTCACTATCGGTCAGTTAGTGTTACAACATGGCAGGATCCTGTAATGGTCACTATTGGTCAGTTAGTGTGACAACAATACAGGATCCTGTAATGGTCACTATTGGTCAGTTAGTGTTACAACATGATAGGATCCTGTAATGGTTACTATTGGTTGGTTAGTGTTACAACATGGCAGGATCCTGTAATGGTCACTATTGGTCAGTTAGTGTTACAACATGACAGGATCCTGTAATGGTCACTATTGGTCAGTTAGTGTTACAACATGATAGGATCCTGTAATGGTTACTATTGGCCAGTTAGTGTCACAACATGACAGGATCCTGTAATGGTCACTGTTGGGTAGTAAGTGTTACAACATGGCAGTACCCTGTAATGGTCATTATTGGTCAGTAAGTGTTACAACATGACAGGATCCTGTAATGGTTACTATTGGTCAGTTAGTGTGACAACATGGCAGGATCCTGTAATGGTCACTATCAGTCAGTAAGTGTTACAACATGACAGGATCCTGTATTGGTCATTATTGGTCAGTAAGTGTTACAACATGGCAGTACCCTGTAATGGTCACTATTGGTCAGTTAGTGTTACAACATGACAGTACTCTGTAATGGTCACTATTGGTCAGTTAGTGTTACAACATGGCAGTACCCTGTAATTGTCACTATTGGTCAGTTAGTGTGACAACATGACAGGATCCTGTAATGGTCACTATTGGTCAGTTAGTGTTACAACATGGCAGGATGCTGTAATGGTCACTATTGGTCAGTTAGTGTTACAACATGGCAGGATGCTGTAATGGTCACTATTGGTCAGTTAGTGTTACAACATGGCCGGGTTCTGTAATCTTCTCATGTTTTACCCTAGTTAAGTAAATGGTAATAACTTGTTAGTGCAAGTGTACCAATTGTTAGACTGTATAAGGACACTGTCTACCAAAATGTAACATCAGGAAGCTTTCTCCTAAAGTATAGCTGCTGCTGTTTTCATATTTTGACCCTGATGCAAAGTTGAAAAAAGAAACTGTCTATGTCAGAGCTAGGTACTTCATAGGTCATACTAGTCCAGCAGTATTTAGTCCCCTCACTACCACCCCACCTCTCAAAGGATACAGTGTGATAATCTATTTCTGTATATTGTTTAAGATAAAGGTGATATCTGTATCACAGTGCGACTAAGTTCAGTACTTACATCAATTAGATAGCGAATATTAACAAAAAGTTAAATAAATAGATGTTGTATTCAAGGAACTTTAGCACATGTTGCCATTTGTTATCATTACATTGAAGGGTTCCATTTTTATATACGTTTATTCTCTGCACTATAGGAATGCCATGTCAAAATCCAAGTTACAGGGTGACATGCTCACATGTGATGACTTTGATAAAGATCAAAAGAATTCCGAAGCATGGTGTGCCTCTTTTATAATCTTCAAAGAACATGACTATCAGTCCAGTGATTGGTTAGTCTGAAACCAATCCACAGTTTACTGCAGAGAAGGATATTAATAACAGTTAGATTTAGGAATTATGATTTACATGTATTTTATGAGATAAGGGTAAAGTAGATGAGTTATTTAATTTTCATCAACTCTTTGTTTTAATATGTAGTATATTTGAAATCTAGTTATCTTTGCATGTGAATTGACCTTAAGTTTCATTAATATATACCTTTTTAAGGTCACCTGAGACAAAGTCTCATAGTGAGCTATTGTGATATCCTTTTGTTCGGCATTGTCTGTCATACGTTTATAAATTTTTTAGGTCACCTGAGACAAAATCCTAAGGTGACCGATTTTTATTAAACTTGGCAGAAACCTTCCATGGCTAAATGTTAACCAGAATTATAAACCACCAAATTGACTGATGTTTCAAAACTCTTCTCAATACCCAAATACGTAGAAACAAATACTCTTCATGGATGGAAAGGTCTTAAGGTGCTTTACCAAAATTGAGAATTTCATGACCCCATTGTCTCACATTTTCCCTTGGGGAGGTGGTAAAGTTTACTATAGTTTATATAGAAAAATCACATTTTTGAACATTATATTTTCTTTTGGAAATAGAACAAAATTGGTTAGAATTGATATTACGGGATGATAGTTTGATGTCATGCATATAATGACCTTTGCTGAGGTCCACTATGTCCTTATATAGACAGTCTGATGTTCAGTTGTCTCAGGTCCAAACCTGAGTCATCACATTACTTACCTGATAAAAGCACTATGGAGTTATGTGTACTAGTGATTATTTTATCAGTGAAGTAGGGATGGCAAATGAAATGACAGGTTACAGGTCATGTAATATAACACCTGTACATTATTTTAGGCCTTGGTAAGGAACAGTGGAACAATTTGACATAATACAAATCCTGTACATTTTTGAAGTCTTTGCTGGTCAGTAAAACTTTGATTACATAATGTAACACCTGTATATATTTGATGACCAATGTTAGTAACAGGTAATTATAATGTAACAACTGAATATAGTTGATGTCCTTGACCAGTAACAGGTAACACTGTTACAACTGTACATGTTTGATGTCCTTGACCTGCAACAGGTAACTGTAACACCTGTACATGTTTGATGTCCTTGACCAGTAACAGGTAACACTGTTACACCTGTACATGTTTGATGTCCTTGACCTGCAACAGGTAACTGTTTAACACCTGTTAATGTTTGATGTCCTTGACCTGCAACAGGTAACTGTTTAACACCTGTTAATGTTTGATGTCCTTGACCTGCAACAGGTAACACTGTTACACCTGTACATGTTTGATGTCCTTGACCAGTAACAGGTAACACTGTTACACCTGTACATGTTTGATGTCCTTGACCAGTAACAGGTAACACTGTTACACCTGTACATGTTTGATGTCCTTGACCTGTAACACCTGTACATGTTTGATGTCCTTGACCTGCAACAGGTAACTGTAACACCTGTTTGAATGTTACATGTTTGATGTCCTAACAGGTAACACTGTGACCAGTAACTTCTGTACATGTTTGATGTCCTTGACCAGTAACAGGTAACTGTGTGACACCTGTACATGTTTGATGTCCTTGACCTGTAACAGTGTAACACCTGTACATGTTTGATGTCCTTGACCAGTAACAGGTAACTGTGTAACACCTGTACATGTTTGATGTCCTTGACCAGTAACAGGTAACTGTGTAACACCTGTACATGTTTGATGTCCTTGACCTTCAACAGGTAACTGTGTAACACCTGTACATGTTTGATGTCCTTGACCTGTAACAGTGTAACACCTGTACATGTTTGATGTCCTATATGTTTGATGTCCTTGACCTGTAACAGGTAACTGTGTCACACTTGTACATGTTTGATGTCCTTGACCTGCAACAGGTAACTGTTTAACACCTGTTAATGTTTGATGTCCTTGACCTGCAACAGGTAACTGTTTAACACCTGTACATGTTTGATGTCCTTGACCTGCAACAGGTAACACTGTAACACCTGTACATGTTTGATGTCCTTGACCAGTAACAGGTAACTGTGTGACATGTGTACATGTTAAATGGCCTTGGTTAGTAACAGGTATTAATGTTACACTTGTATGTGTCCTTGTTCAGTAATTGAATAACAGATAACACATGTTTGTGATAATGCCCTTGTCCAGAACACTCATGTGTCATTACGTAATCATCTGGTGTAGGTGTATTTGTCAAGCTACTTTTTAAAGGACAAAGCGTAGATGCCAGGATTTCTATTTAAAGACGACTGTAAGACAGACTTAGCCGTTACAAGATCATATGTTAGACTATCAACTGTAAGATTGACAAGTGATTGATTCATTACTGTTGTTTTCTTCTTGTTGTTAGTAATTTTGTTATTGGATGCAGGATTAAATAAGAAAAGTGATAGGAGAGGTATTATCCTTCTTCATCATAATCTTATCAAATGACTATTTAAAAACAAAAGTTTTATTACCCAAAACTTGTATATAAACATTAGATTTTCTTGCTATCAGTCAATTTCAGTGATCAATCAATGTCTGATTATGAATATCATGTATTATACAGGTACAGAGAGAATTTTAGTGTGTTGTACCTGTGTGGTGTTTTAAGTGTATCTCCTACTGGGAAAGTGGTGCCAAGAATTTAGCTGGCTAGTCACATAATGACGTGGAGACAAGACTTAACTGTTACATATATGTACATAAGTTGATTCTCTCTGCTTGACTGCCTCTATGCAGTCAACATTAAGTGCCATCACACAACAGTATTCAAGTAACACAATTCTTTCTTGCTCACCTGTCATTGTCAAGGTGTAAGGAAATATGTCAGTGTTGTACAGAACCTGTATGTGGATGGTGTTCCACATCTGCCATAATCATCTCATGTTTTCTTAGGCTGGATTAATGTATAATTATACATTCAGTTGACTTGCGAGGGATTTTTTTCCTCAATTCATCATGTGGAATTTTAATTACAGAACTCTTTAAAAAGATCTTAAGTATAAAGCATATGCTTGGAATATGTGAAGTTTCAAATAACTAAGACCTTCAAGTGTCCATTACAATAGCATCTTGGTATGCCATGAGTGATGATACGGATATACATTTTACAGCTCAGGATTTGGCACAGCTGTCCACTTCCAATGTCAGAATGTATAATGTTAATTCACATGATGAAAATGTGATAGTCTTATACAAGGAGGATGACATTGAGATCGCTATGGAGGATGTGAAAGGAGACTCTGAAGTCTACTGTGGCAAAAGGTTTCTTGACAGTCAACTTTCATTGAACAATCCTCACACCAATAAGAATGATACAGTGATCATGGAAAATTTGATGATGAAAGATATTGTGTACTGTGGTAAACGTTTTCTGGAGAGTGATTGCACTGCAGCGTCTACATCCAATGTAGAGGATATCGAGGCAGTACACACTGGACAAAAGATGGGATCAGTTGAAGAGGAATTCCCTAGATGGGAAAGTGAGGAATTAAGTGAAAGTTCAGCAGACGTGGATTTTAAAAACATCTATGTGCAGACCATTCATGGAGATGAAGATACTGAGATTTATAGGATACAGAAATATCTAGATAGTCCATACTCTGATTCTAAAAGTCTGACTTCAAGTGATTTGGAGGAAGATAGAAAGAATGAAAATGATGATTATCTGGAAATGTTTCATGAAAGAACAGAGATATACTGTGGTAAAAAGTTTCTTGAAGGTAGTTGGTCCTATTTAAGAGGTAGTACTCCAATGGAGAAAGAAATTGATAGGAACAGATTTGACTCCTCAGAAAGTGACCCTGACATTGTCACCACCGTGGTGCAATCTCACCCTGTACAGACAGATGTTTACTGTGGGAAACAGTTTCTAGATGGTGACTGTAATCCTATATGTATGAAAGTGTCTGTCGGTGAAGAGCCTATAGAAGAGATAGACCTTTATGTAGAGAGTGAAGGAGTAAACCTAGAAGCAGACATAGATACTGAAAAGGGGATTGAAAGAAAAGAAGATATTATAAACCCACTAAATGGACAAGGAAGTGGTTGTAATCTTTATTTTGGAAATGGTTGCGATAATGATGATGTACTCCCCAGAGTGATAGATGTAGGGTTAGTCAGTGTAAACTTTCAGAGAGAATTAGAACTTTACTGTGACCAAGCAAGTTCTAAAACATGTAGTTCTGATAATACTGCAGAGACACATGAAGTAAGGATGGATATAGACTTTTTGGAAAGTAATAATGATGTGGGATTGCTAGATGGCCATGAGGATGTAGAATTAGTGGAGACTGTTGAGGATGTAGTATTACTGGAGGGTAATGAGAATAATACTGGGAGTCTCCATGAACAACAAAATGATATTGAAGCTAAGGGAAGCAAACAAGCAGCAGAATTAGGCAAGACATTTAGCAAAGCAGAATACTATAATGAAGAAGCTGTAAGAAGATATGAAGAATTAGTAATAGAAGGAAGAGTGAATACACATCACCACAACACTTATGAACCTGACTTGTCAACAGAGGATACACAACATAGTGAGGTTCTTAGTAACATGTCTTCAGATCATCTCAACGAAGAGGAAAGCGAAGAGCAGCATATTGAAAACGTAAAAGAAGACAAACAGAAAAAGATAACTGCATCCTCAATTTCTTTGGAGGAACCTCCTCAGGTAGTAGGTCTTCCTGCTATCCAATATGAATTTATAAATGTCCATGCTTTTCTTGGGGGTTCTTCTCCTTTTATGAAACTGAAGGCTCCTGATTAGTACCCAGGTAGTAAAACACTAAGATTTGTTTCTAATTTTTAGGCTTAACGTACTGCAGTTTTGGTTTCAGCTTATAGTCACAGCCTTTGGAACCAGCTGTTAAAACTTATCCTAGCTCTCTGATTGATGAAAATATTCCAACGATTTACCTGCTACCCCAAGTGGCAGTTGTATTTATAAACAATGCTGCCATCCTCTCTGATTGATGAAAATTTTTCAACGATTTACCTGTGACCCCAAAGTGGCAGTTGTATTTATAAACAATGCTGCCATCTTTAAAAACAGTGTCATACATGCAAACTGTTGTTATGAGACAATCAAGTATCATACTAAAAACTTACAAATTTAACAGGCTGGGTTTTCATGAAAATATTCAGATTGAGATTTGTATCAATCAGGAACTAGCATTGTACTGGTTTGCAGAGGGTTCTCCGAGGCATGACAATATATATACAGTAACTATTTTATTTATTTTCCTTGCTCATAAATTTTGCATACTAGATAATCCCAAAAATCAATTATGGCAGCCTTGAAAAATCTTTGAAGAAGAGAAAAATTCTTAAGCTACGTAATGTGGGCACTCCGCACATTTGACCTTTAATTTTTCTAGAAAATTTTGGCACTTTTACATGCGGGTTTTCACGGTAGCAAAATAAATTATTTATAATCTGTTGTAATGTTTTGTTCATGGTTCAATATTCATTACCAGTGCCAGTGGCAATCTCTTGATTTGGAACTATATTGTTTCAGTGAATTGTACATTTTACACAAATTCCATTGATTTGATGGAAAATGTATTTTCATTTTATCTGTTGATCGTCATTTCCAAAGAGGTTTTTTTGCATGTGATCTATTATATTATCTCACAATTATATACCTTGATTATAATTTTCTGAGAGTAATGTCCCTTTATCCTGTAAGTGGTCATAAGTTTTGTCTGGTGCAGTACCAATTTCAGAATGCGCCAGTGCCAGGACACAAGTTTACCTGGTGCAGTACAAGGAAATGTGTTTATCTGGTGCAGTATAAGGATGTGAGTTTGTGTGCTGCAGTACTAGGACACAAGCTTGTCTGCTGCAGTACAAGGACACAAGCTTGTCTGCTGCAGTACCAGGACACAAGCTTGTCTGCTGCAGTACTAGGACACAAGCTTGACTGCTACAGTACCAGGAAACAAGCTTGTCTGCTGCAGTACCAGGACGCAAGTTTGTCTGCTGCAGTACCAGGACACAAGCTTGTCTGCTTCAGTACCAGGGCATGAAATTTGTGTGCTGCAGTACCAGGACACAAACTTGTCTGCTTCAGTACCAGGGCATGAAGTTTTGTGTGCTGCAGTACCAGGACACAAGTTTGTCTGCTGCAGTACCAGGGCATGAAATTTTGTGTACTGCAGTATCAGGACACAAACTTGTCTGCTGCAGTACCAGGGCATGAAATTTTGTGTACTGCAGTACCAGGACACAAACTTGTCTGCTTCAGTACCAGGGCATGAAATTGGTCTGCTGCAGTTCTAAGACACAAGTTTGACACAAATTTTCTACCAGTTTTTTAAGAGCTTCAGTTCCACTAGGATATGTAGTTTTGTTTTTCTGCTGCATTACCAAGACTTAAATTTGTCTGCTGCAGTACCAAGACATAAATTTGTCTGCTGCAGTACCAAGACATAAATTTGTCTGCTGCAGTACCAAGACATAAATTTGTCTGCTGCAGTACCAAGCGTGTTTTTCTGCTGTTCATGTTTTCATTTCTTATGAACACATGATTACAAGTACCATAGAATACAGATATGCTCTTGCTTTTTATTCGAAATTTTTGACTCATTTTGAATGCAAGAGGTTGATTTTCATTTTCTCCACTGGGTTTTTCTCACACCACCTAAATGGATTGCTTAGAAGTTTTCCCAGTGTTTTGTAAACATTCTCTTACACTTCTTGTTACTAGGACTTTGAACTTAATACTTTCAGTATGGGTTCCCCTTGGTGAAATCATGTGGCATATATCAAAAGCAGGTCACTCTGACCTATGTTTTGACCTTTGTACCTACATTAAAGAAAATCCTTGTTTGGGCTCTATCTCCTATACTACTGGTCACTGAAACGTTGTGCTTGCCCTACATTTTGGCCTTTGACCTACATCAAAATAAAAGAGGTATATAATTTCACATTGGCGAGGAACTATGATTCAGTGAGTTGTTTTGTTCCAAAATATTATTTCTTTACTGATATTGGTCACAAAATGAAACAATCTTTTCCTGTCATTATTGTAAAGATATTTTGAAAGGAAATTCTCAATTTTTGTCCTTAAGTTTGTCTACTAAGATAAAACTGGTATAGATACTAAAAACATGATAAAAGATTTCAAAGTTTACCAGAGTTATTATACTGTCACTAAAAAGAAAAATATAAACAGCTAAATCAAGGATGGAGCATCAACACCAAGGATTCCTTGATCGGTAGTTTTATTAGGTTGACATGTTTCGGCTAGCTAGACTAGCTGTCATCAGAACAAAGCAGTCATAAGAAAAATATAAGTTAATGTTATGTAACTAGAAGATAGTGCTGAAACAATGGCCCAGTAAATGAAATATAAATCTCCCTTTTCATGGAAATAACATGTACACTCCAGTTTACATTTTGACACATTTAAGGATTTCATTGGTATTGTATTCATGAAATTTGTTTTGTTTTTCAGGGTGCAATCCTTACTACAATGTTGGCTACAAGGAATTTCTCCAGTAAGTAAAGTTGTGATAGATTTTGTTAGTAATTGAGCAGGTATGACAGGTATTAAGACTATTTAGAACATGTCTTACAATCATCATGATGTAATGTGTGATGTGTGAATGGTGTGTGTTTAATTTGTAATGATCAGTTTGACTGAGAAGGTTATTTTGGTAAAGACTATGATGTAAAAGGGTTTAACACTGAAGAACCTGCAACCAAATTTCATCACCATTATAATGCTTCTGGTTTGGGTACAATGTTTCAGTGTATAACTGTGTGTTATCAGTGCCTCTAGTGACCAGTGCCCATTCAGCACTTTCCAATGCTGAAGATTCAATAGCAGTGTAAGAAATCCAGCAATGAGAATTATTTGTTATCCTGACTATTGCTAAGGAATTTAGATAAAATGACTTTAATTAAAAATTTTCGTTATCCAAAATGATTGGTATTTAACAACTCAAACATATCATAAGTGAGGATCATGGATAACATCTCAAACATATCATAAGTGAGGATCATGTTTTGAATATTATAGTGATCACATTGTTAAGAATTACCAGAAAGACTACTAAATCATATGTCAAACATGGCTTGTGTTCACATTTAATGTCTATTAATTAGTCATGCAGACCTAGACAATAAATATCAGATATGATGAATGATGAAGCTGTAAGCCTGCTAGCTAGGGCATGGTTAACTTAAAGTCTGCACCAGAGGGTGATAGCTTCATAAAAATATTAGTGGATGACCAGTTTACTTTGTCGGTTGTTTAACATGCATACTATTATAATAATTCATGTATGTATTTATGAAGGTATATGTTAATTATTGAATATTATAGGTTTTTGTTAATTGGCTCTATTATTTCCCTGTACCTGAACAGAATAGAAAATTTGATTTCATGCTCTGTTAAGCTGTGATAGTAACAAACACTCTGTAAAAACATGCAGGACACGTTGTCGACTAGTAGTATAATCATTCAACTGTGTTCATGTTAAATTCAGTTACTATTGATACACTATACCTCTCCAAATGGGCAGATAGATTTTGCCTAGGAGAAGAATAATTGTGAAAATCATTGGTGTAAGCTGTGGCCCATTGTAGAATTCACATAAGTGATTAATTATCATAGCTTTACATTTTTTCATTATTCTAAGACAGCTGCAGTGGGCATTATATAAGAAGATGGAGGAAGGAGATTTACCTCATCAAACTCTGTATATACAATAGTTCTCTAATATTTCAGATTTTTCTTACATAGTGTATAATATTTGCATATACTGTTTACAAAGGTTACAGCTTGAAAGTCTAACTAGCCAGCAGCTACAGGCAAATAGTTGTCTCAGCAAAGTCTGTTTAACTAAATGTATATGTATCTGGTTATCACTACAAAGTCTGGTTAGTTATTGTATGTGTATCTGGTTATCACCACAAAGTCTGGTTAGTTATTGTATGTGTATCTGGTTATCACCACAAAGTCTGGTTAGTTATTGTATGTGTATCTGGTTATCACTACAAAGTCTGGTTAGTTATTGTATGTGTATCTGGTTATCACTACAAAGTCTGGTTAGTTATTGTATGTGTATCTGGTTATCACTACAAAGTCTGGTTAGTTATTGTATGTGTATCTGGTTATCACTACAAAGTCTGGTTAGTTATTGTATGTGTATCTGGTTATCACTACAAAGTCTGGTTAGTTATTGTATGTATATCTGGTTATCACTACAAAGTCTGGTTAGTTATTGTATGTATATCTGGTTATCACTACAAAGTCTGGTTAGTTATTGTATGTGTATCTGGTTATCACTACAAAGTCTGGTTAGTTATTGTATGTGTATCTGGTTATCACTACAAAGTCTGGTTAGTTATTGTATGTGTATCTGGTTATCACTACAAAGTCTGGTTAGTTATTGTATGTGTATCTGGTTATCACTTCAAAGTCTGGTTAGTTATTTTGTGTATGTCTGGTTAGCATTACAGAGTTTGACATTTAGTTTTGCCTGTACTGTGTATGGTTACAGTAAATAAGTTCACTGTCTGTGTATGGTTGTTAATTTAAACACTTCCTGTATGGTGTAACAGTTAATTTAAGCATGTATGTTGTTACAGTTGATTGAGCCGTTACTTGTATGTGGTTATCTGTGTGTGGTTACAGTTGTCAGTTCCTGTGTGTGGTTGTATCTGTGTGTGGTTACAGCAGTTCCTGTGTGTGGTTACAGTTGATTAAGTCAGTTCCTGTGTGTGGTTACCATCTGTGTGTGGTTACAGTTGATTTAGTCAGTTCCTGTGTGTGGTTACAGTTGATTAAGCCACCATCTGTGTGTGGTTACAGTTGATTTAGTCAGTTCCTGTGTGTGGTTACAGTTAGTAGAGCCACCATCTGTGTGTGGTTACAGTTGATTTAGTCAGTTCCTGTGTGTGGTTACAGTTGATTTAGTGTTCCTGTGTGTGGTTACAGTTAGTAGAGCCACCATCTGTGTGTGGTTACAGTTGATTTAGTCAGTTCCTGTGTGTGGTTACAGTTAGTAGAGCCACCATCTGTGTGTGGTTACAGTTGATTTAGTCAGTTCCTGTGTGTGGTTACAGTTGATTTAGTCAGTTCCTGTGTGTGGTTACAGTTAGTAGAGCCACCATCTGTGTGTGGTTACAGTTGATTTAGTCAGTTCCTGTGTGTGGTTACAGTTGATTTAAGTCAGTTCCTGTGTGTGGTTACAGTTAGTAGAGCCACCATCCTGTGTGTGGTTACAGTTGATTTAGTCAGTTCCTGTGTGTGGTTACAGTTGTGTGTGTGTGGTTACAGTTGATTTAGTCAGTTCCTGTGTGTGGTTACAGTTAGTAGAGCCACCATCTGTGTGTGGTTACAGTTGATTTAGTCAGTTCCTGTGTGTGGTTACAGTTAGTAGAGCCACCATCTGTGTGTGGTTACAGTTGATTTAGTCAGTTCCTGTGTGTGGTTACAGTTGATTAAGTCAGTTCCTGTGTGTGGTTACAGTTAGTAGAGCCACCATCTGTGTGTGGTTACAGTTGATTTAGTCAGTTCCTGTGTGTGGTTACAGTTGATTTAGTCAGTTCCTGTGTGTGGTTACAGTTGATTTAGTCAGTTCCTGTGTGTGGTTACAGTTGATTTAGTCAGTTCCTGTGTGTGGTTACAGTTGATTTAGTCAGTTCCTGTGTGTGGTTACAGTTGATTAAGTCAGTTCCTGTGTGTGGTTACAGTTGATTTAGTCAGTTCCTGTGTGTGGTTACAGTTGATTTAGTCAGTTCCTGTGTGTGGTTACAGTTAGTAGAGCCACCATCTGTGTGTGGTTACAGTTGATTTAGTCAGTTCCTGTGTGTGGTTACAGTTAGTAGAGCCACCATCTGTGTGTGGTTACAGTTGATTTAGTCAGTTCCTGTGTGTGGTTACAGTTGATTTAGTCAGTTCCTGTGTGTGGTTACAGTTGATTTAGTCAGTTCCTGTGTGTGGTTACAGTTGATTTAGTCAGTTCCTGTGTGTGGTTACAGTTGATTTAGTCAGTTCCTGTGTGTGGTTACAGTTGATTAAGTCAGTTCCTGTGTGTGGTTACAGTTGATTAAGTCAGTTCCTGTGTGTGGTTACAGTTAGTAGAGCCACCATCTGTGTGTGGTTACAGTTGATTAAGTCAGTTCCTGTGTGTGGTTACAGTTGATTTAGTCAGTTCCTGTGTGTGGTTACAGTTGATTTAGTCAGTTCCTGTGTGTGGTTACAGTTGATTTAGTCAGTTCCTGTGTGTGGTTACAGTTGATTTAGTCAGTTCCTGTGTGTGGTTACAGTTGATTAAGTCAGTTCCTGTGTGTGGTTACAGTTGATTTAGTCAGTTCCTGTGTGTGGTTACAGTTGATTTAGTCAGTTCCTGTGTGTGGTTACAGTTAGTAGAGCCACCATCTGTGTGTGGTTACAGTTGATTTAGTCAGAGCCACCATCTGTGTGTGGTTACAGTTGATTTAGTCAGTTCCTGTGTGTGGTTACAGTTGATTTAGTCAGTTCCTGTGTGTGGTTACAGTTGATTTAGTCAGTTCCTGTGTGTGGTTACAGTTGATTTAGTCAGTTCCTGTGTGTGGTTACAGTTGATTAAGTCAGTTCCTGTGTTTGGTTACAGTTGATTAAGTCACTGTTTGTGTCTGGTTACTGTTAATTAAGCCTTTATTCTCCTGTATAAGAATTACAGTGAGATTTTAGGGAACACTGGGAGTATTTGCCAATTATATCCTATCACTGAATGAGCACGTGTTATTCCTTAAATGTAATGCTCACCGCCCTTCCCACATCACAAGTTCCACTGTCTCTTTTCATGCCTAAATTAGATAAAGTCTTCTCTATTTTTCTAATAAAGGTAAATTTGGTTGTCAATGCTTCATGGATTTGCACCAGTAGTAGAATAAAGACCCCTGTGTGCTGCAAATATCACTTATTTAACATCATAAAGTACTGGAAATTTGTTTACAAATATTGCAGGAATGTAAACTGCATGGACTCATCAAAATACACATCATCAAATGTGAATATCATTATCATACACATACCATCATATAATAATAAGATACTGTAGAATATTGCTAGTATTGGGACAGTAGATCCTGTCCAGACAGTGTTGCTGATGATTCACAACTCCATTGTCCATGTCATTGCTTCATGTGTGTACAATGTCTCTGAGACCTGAGCATGCTGAATGTTCCCAGTCTCATCTCTGTTTTTTGTTTGCTTTGTATGACTATAGTAAACAAAGGTAAGTGTTTCTATATTGTTAGCCCTTTCCTACAGTAGACCTAGTATTCAGTAAAACTTTTAATCTTGCTCTATAATATCTGATTGAATGGTTTAAAAAATATGCTTATGTACATCTTTTTTTTTAAATTTCACTTTTTTTCACTTCATGCTTAACTTGATATTCACGTTATTTTGAATGAGTAATCAATTTAGATTAATCTATCAAGTGCACAACATCTAATGTACCAGGTAATTAATCACAATTTAATACTATAGTGTATGTAG